CTTTCAAGTAACAGTATGTCGATCGAAAAATTACCATGAGGTGGCATTGCAGAACTAAATTGAGCGTTTTATAAAGCTATTTCTATACTTATTATAATATTCATATAAATCGAGGGACAAAAATTATGCATTATACGTTCTTACTTGTTTTCTTAAGCATGTGTAATTTCAGTATCAATATAATCTATGATGGCTAAAGTTTTATAATGAAGGTGCACAAATTCCAGAAAAAAGCTTTATTTTGGTATGCTAGATTCTTTAGTTTAAAAAGTTGAGTTTTGTTGGAACTGACATTTTGAGGTTATTTTTGCAATTTTCTTCGTGAAAGAAACAAGAAATTGGTTACATTCGTAATTAATCAATAATTCATAACATTTAATATGTTTTGGCACTGCAAGTATAATTAATTTTAGTTTCAAAACGCCGTACGAGTTCTGGACGCGATTTCAGCCTGTTACGGTGGAATCACCTATATACGACAATGCATTCAAAATACCTTTAACCTCAGACAAAATACCGTACAGATTAGACAAAGTTACTGATACCAGTGTAACGCAAGAGTTTGTAGATGATAACAACTGTATGTCTACAATGATGGATGGTGCAACAAACACATACAATATACAACAACTAATTTAAATTCTTAAGCCAGTCACCACCCATGTCTTGTCCCATTCGCACTGCAACCCGTTGGCCACCTAGTCGCTAGAGAAGGGTACAAGTGGACGCGCACAGCGGCCACTGGCTGTTACAATGCGATATTATACAATTTTTACAGATGCAGATGATACACAAATTTTTTCGCACAAAAAAAGTAAATAGTTAGTCTGTTATTGAAAAAAACAACAATTTCTTTCATTTTGGTTTCAGAATAAGCTAGAGCATTTTTTTTTCGTTTAACAAACATAATGCTGTTTATCGGAAAAAAATGTGTGATTGACTGAGATATTTGCAATTGTTAATGTTGCAAAATAATATTTTTTGTGATATAACGTCAAAATTTACAAAAATTAATTATTCTGTTTGTTATTATTATCAACATCAAATTCAATATTTTTACTGGAGCAAAATTTCGATGAACTGATCCTGAAGTTTGTTATAATACTTTAAATCTTATAAAACTAAATACCAAATAACAAATAATTATTTTGAAATTTTACAAATAGCTTTTCTGATGTGCAACTTAATACCTTTATTTTTTCACGGTAACATTCAAATTGACAAAATAGTTTTGTTTTCAACGTAAACTTTTCGGTATAAAAACTGTCTATTATGTAGGGAATCTTATGACTAAGCAATTGTGAGTCTAAAAATGCCTCTAAGAGCAATAGAAGCGAAGATTTAAGCAAATAAAAAAAATTTGCATTTGTTTATAAATTGTTAAACAAATAAATGAAGCCGACTTCTGATTTGGACAAAACTATAATTTCCGTAAAACCTTAGGGGAATTACCAATTTTGTCTCTATTGGAAAACGTAAGATTAAAAAATCCTTTGCTCCACGGATATAATATGGAGCTGAAACTAGCCGATGTACTAAATGGAGCGCTTAATAATGTAACAAAAACTTTTTTTTTAAAGATGACCTAATTGCTTTTTTTTTGTTTTAAACTACCAGAACATATCTGTTTAGATGTGGGCTTGTATATATCTGTTTAGATGTGGGCTTGATGAAAATGCTTATTCAACAGTACTGCACGAATAAACAAAAAAAATTGTCATGAAACTGTACTAGATTACGAAGCGATCCTATTTTTGCTTAGAGAGTTACAGATAATTTTTCAGCTGCTAGGTTATGTGAGCTACTGCATTTATGCACGATCCGAAAATGAACGATCGTCCAGTGCTACAGAGGACTATTAATGTCATTGTTCAATTTTAAATTGGTGTGTACTGTGTATTCCAGCATTGTACTGCCTGATGATCTGGCTCTGCAGTAATATTTATTTCACAATGTGTAGGCTATGACTATGCTAAAGTCTCATTACGTGGTTAAACTGTAAGTTAGATGCTGTAAGTCAGAGCCTGCAAATTGTATTCATTGTATTTAATTCGATAAGAAAAAACTGGTACTCAAAATTTTCGGGCTACAATAAGCTGGGTTTTTTATTTTTGTAGCCAGTGTTGTAAGATAACTCAGTAGTAACTCACATTTGCAACCTCATCGTCTCCTTGCACTACCCTTTTGCAGCTGCCAGTCATGCATCTTTTTATCGAGTAAGTGAGGACAAAAGACTATCTGATAATTTTCAGACTTTTTGTCTATAACTGTGTGAGTTTATGAGAGCACTACACTAGCAAGCTATGATCAAAAGCTCTCGCACATTAAATATCGCAAGTCAATCAATTAATTTTTTTTTTTCCAAAATTTAATGCTAGACAAAACAAAAGTAAATGATTAAATCAATGGATAATTTCGAGTTCTAGATACTGATATTTTTATTTCAATTTTATCTCAAACTATTTACAAGATATTTTTATCTTTTGATAAAGTTATCTTTAGAATACGTACAAGGAGTATGCAGTTGGAAGAGAGATGATCGTATCTAACTAAATCTGCCATGTAAGATAGAAGTACAGGCGTGCTCTGTTTGAAATAAGTAAAGTTTGTATTTCAATTACTCCTATGCATTCAATGGCACAACGATAAATGTTTTAAAGTAAATCGAATACAATCATGTTTTGTACCATGAACGCTGTATCATTTGAATTTACGAAATGAATTTGCCAATCTCAAACATTTTTGTTTTTATGACAATTTAACGGTCGACATCAATTCGTCTAAATCCAGCCTGCTGATAATTGTATGGTTTTCATATTGATATTTCGCAAATAATTATGTTTTCTTTAGTGCATTGGTCATCGAATATTCTATATGGTAGTTCCGATGTGGTCCAGTGCATGTGAACGTGCATTGACATGCGCATGGTAATCTCTGTTTAAGTAAGCATGGTAGTGTTTCTTACGCTAATTGATCGATTAGAGAGCACCTACTAAGATCTAATCCTAATCGTGAGTTCGTGACTATGATATACGGGTGTACGTGTATTTGCGTACGTGCGTGCAATGGTGCAAATGTGCAACGCTTGCATATTGTTTGTGTGTGTATGTATTTGTTTGTGAAAAAATACATCGCTTGATATGAGCACACAATGCACATTTGCATCATTGTACGACTGCTTACATGTATTAGAACTTTGCACATGGTGTTGATGATGTTACAGCCATACCAATACGCTTATGCACGTTTGCAAAAAGTTAATTAAGGATTCTAAGTACCTTAACTATTAATAGTAATAATGAAAATAGATAAACGTAATAGAATAGAAGTAGAGCATTAATAAATATTGAATATTAAAGATGACGAGCACTACTTACGAATGCTGTTTGTTTTGCCAAATAGAGCTTTCACTTATCCAGCCTATTCTGTACAAGGTAAATACTAATTTTGAAATTTCGTACAATATACAGTTTTTAACAGATATGAACTGATTGATACTGATACAAATCGATTTATTTTTTAATTTTAAAAAATAGACTCCATGTATCTCAGGATTTTGCGTGTGGAAATCATGCAGGCAAATCGCCAATCGACATAAAGTGATTTATTAAACATTAACATAGTTTTATTCCTTTGTGTAAACATTTTCAGCTGCTGTTCTTTAAAAGAAAAAGATACTAGTAATATTTAATAACAGTCATGTTTATCATAAATTTATTGATCTGAACAATTTTTAAAAACTTGTTATTCATTAATCTTGAAAGCTTTCATAAAGTCTGCCAAGGTAAATAATTACAACGAGGAGAAGAATTCATCTACAGTACCAGAAAACTTGCAGATCCTAGGCACGGGTGGAACGTAATCTTATAAAAAAAATAAAACGTTCACTTAGAAAAAAACAGTTACAACTGTTGTATCAGTTTTTCTACTTCTTAACGTGGATCTTCGGTATAAGTTGATTACGGTAATGTTTGCATGTAATGCTAACGAGTTGTTATTTATTTGTTTATTTAAATTTCATTTTTCAATAAATTCGAATAGTTCCTAACCAAGGAGATTGTTTAAAAGAGGTGCAGGATGCATCAACAGCCAAAAAAAATTCACCGAATCAAGAAACTTTTAGTAAAATTACATTTATAGCTTTAAATAAACGAAAATTTTCTAATACAAAAATAATTATTGCGTACTTTTAACAGCTTCAACAGTAATAGAGAAAAATACTGCTATTAAGTCAAATGACGCAAATGAAGACATTACATCGAAAATACCTATGAAAACATAGAATGATACAGTAAGTATGTTTGCGGTGTGTCGAGAAGGAAGTCTTTGAGAAATTGAAAGGGACTTTTGGGAGAAATTCGATGGACTCAAGGAGAACTTATTTGGACATTTTAGTTGTCCTTCTGTTGATATTATGAGTACTTGTAAGGGACTTGAGAAAGACTGACAGGAGACTTTTTAGGGACTTGTAAAGAATGTGTAGAGGACTTTTTAAGAAATTAGAGGGTTCCATAGAGAAATTTTGGTGGACTTTAGTTGTATATGTGCGTGTACTGCGTGTGCGATAGCTGCAATGTGTATGTATGTCGTGTGTGCCTACGAGTGAGCAACGAGGATAGATAGCGAGAGGGCAAGATCGGGAGATATAGGGTCCGAGAGACTCGAGCCGATTAAGAGAAGTCAGTCCGGTATACGACCTTACAAGTACGAGAACGGGCGCGCACTACCTTAAACATTTCTGTACTTACCATTACACTTACCTATAATAAATAATTACTATAATATATAGTGTGGCTTATTCTCTACACCTACGCCCAGCCCTTACGAATACAATAGTGGCGCAGTCGGTATAAGTTTTTTTTATAGTAATAAACAGTTCCTTTACTTACAAATTCAATACCTACATACATACGCCACAGCACAAGTTACAGTGTGCTTACATACATACATGCAAAGTGCATCTTTACTCATATACGTGCAAGTAGTAAGAAGTCATTACAATGAGGAACGAAGGAAATACATTCAGTACAAGTACAGAGGGAACATTGAAACCGATACAAGTGCCGATTCAACCTTTCATACCCGATACATCGATATGGAGCCGTTGGCTGCAAAGGTTTGAGGGTGCACTAGGAATCATGAAAATTAAAGAAACGGAAAAGGCAGCGTACCTCCTGCATTACATCGGCGAAGAAGCTTACAATAAGCTTGGAGACCATTTGGAAAGTGATGATCCATACGCTAAAACTTTCCAAGAAATCAAAGACACTCTAAAAGACCTTTACGAGCCTGCACATTTAGAGATTGCTGAAAACTTTAAATTCAATTCCCGGAAACAGCAACCAGGCGAAGACATACAGTCTTTCGCTGACGCATTAAACAAGCTAAGCATCACCTGTAATTTCGGAATTTTCAAAAACACCGCATTACGCAACCAACTAGTATACGGACTAGCTAACAGACGTATACAAGGCAGATTATTGGAAACCAAAGATTTGACCTACACCAGAGCCATGCAAACAGCTTTGGTGATGGAATTATCACACTCATCGTAAACGACAATCTGGTGACCTTTGAAGTGGACAGCGGAGCAGCCGTCACATTAATGCATAAGGACCAAGCGTTTAAGTTAAATAAGTACGATGCACTTTGTAAAACTAAATTGCGGTTAGTGTCTTTTTGCGAATCAAGTATTGGAGTGCTTGGCTATATGGAGGTAAGAGTGAGTGTGGGTGATATTACGCTTGTGTTAAATATGTAGGTTACCGATTTTAAGAGAGAACCTCTTCTGGGTCAAGAATGGATTGGACAGCTGATGGCTATAGGGGGTAAAAATTTTCTAGGCAAATTATTTGATACGATTAATGTAGTTGAAAAAGAAAAAATAATAATAAACGATAATGATAAAAATTTAGCAGTAAAAAATTTACTTCCAAAATACAAGAATATAACTAGCGATCAGCTATCAAAAATTAATAATAAGTCTCTCTTTGAAACCGGACGCGAAACCAGTTTTTTAAAGGCCTAGAGCATTACCGTTCAAACTTGTTCCTTTAGTTGATAAAGAAATTGAGTTTTTGATTAAAGAAGGTATTTGTGAAAGAGTGGAAACCTCGAAGTTTGCCACGCCGCTGGTGCCGGTTTTAAAGAAAGACAACAGTGTACGATTGTGTGGTGATTATAGCGTCACTGTTAATCCTCAACTGTTGATTAACGAGTACCCTTTGCCAACAATCGATGAACTTTTCGCAGAGATGGCAGGGTGCAACGTGTTTGCTAAAATTGATTAAAAAATGGCATATTTACAATTAGAAGTAGACGATGCTAGTGCTAAAATTTTGACACTTAACACTCATAGAGGGTTATTAAAATATAACAGACTAATGTACGGAGTAGCGTCTGCCTCGGCCATCTGGCAAAAATTGATGGAAGGTATTTTAAGTAAGATTGCGGGAATTAAAGTGTTTCTTGATGATATTCGCATTGCGGCTAAATCTCACGATGAATTTTTGTGCAAAATTAATTTGATTTTTGAAACATTAAATGAATATAACATTAAAATCAGATTACAAAAATGCGAATTTTTCCGCACTCAGATAGTTTACTGTGGTTACGTAATCGGTAAAGAGGGAATTTCAAAAGATAGAACAAAGATGGAAGCTATTACTGAAATAAAAAGACCCGAATCAATAGATGAAGTTCGTGCATTTATTGGAATGATCAAATATTATGGAAGATTTATTAAAAATGTTAGTATGATTTTAAACCCTTTTTACGAACTGTTGCGTAACGACAAGAAGTTTTTCTGGGCCGATCGCCAGGAAGACGCCTTCGTCAAAGCGAAAGAGGAATTTATTAGTGAAAAGTGCTTGGCTTTCTACGACCCTGGACTCCCACTGATTCTGGCAACAGATGCGAGTACGTATGGAGTCGGAGCGGTACTGTCCCATCGATACCCGGATGGATCAGAACGCGCGATTCAGTATGTGTCGAAAAAGCTGAATCAAACGCAGTGCAAATATAGTCAGATTGACAAGGAAGCATTTGCGATAGTTTTTGCCGTTAAACGCCTGTACCAGTATTTATATGGAAAAAGGTTTACTTTGATTACGGATCACAGGCCTTTGACGCAAATTTTCTCTAACAGCAAAGGGTTGCCGGTTTTCAGCGCAATGTGCATGCAACATTACGCTATATTTTTGCGTGGGTTTCAGTTTAATATTATTTACAGGCGCTCTGATCTACACGGAAACGCCGATTGTTTGTCGCGTCTGCCCGTATATCATAAAGAGGATAACAATAACACCATTGATGTTCTAGATGCATTTTTTATTGACCAGAAACAAAATTTACCGGTAGACGCGAAGATGATTAAAACGGCATTAAAAAACGAGCCAGACTTGAATAAAATATATACGGCTCTGCAACAAGGCATTGAGTTATCTCGTAAAGATACATGGGGTGTAGAGCCAAAAGATTTTGCGTTAGAGCAGGGATTATTAGTACGTGGTCACAAAGTAATCATACCCAAAAGTTTCCATAACACATTACTAAAAGAATTACATACAGGGCATTTTGACATCGTTAAAATGAAAGGCCTCGCTTGTGAGTACATCTGGTGGCCAGGAATAGATCAAGACATTGAGAAATTAGCAAAAACTTGCTCCAAATGTCAATTATTAATAAACAATCCAAGAAAAGTAGAATTACATATCTGGGAGCCACTTGAACCTTTTCAACGCGTACACATCGATTTCGCGGAACCGTATCTGAATTCTTTTTTATTTATTTTAGTTGACGCGTATACAAAATGGCCTGAATTTCACGTAATGCAAAATATGTTAGCAGAAACAACCGTCAATAAATTGAGAGAAATTTTCGCTATTTTCGGAATTCCGCAAATCATTGTTTCAGATAACGGTCGGACTTTTATATCAAAAACCTTCCAAGACTTTACGAAAGAATTTGGTATAGAGCATAAATTCACGGCACCGTACCATCCCGCCAGCAATGGCCAAGCGGAACGCTTTGTTCAGACAATAAAAAAATCGATAGCCAAAGAAAAGAATCACAAAGAGTTAATAACAAAAATACAAATAATCCTTGCTCAATACAGAATCACACCGCATACTACAACAGGAAAATCTCCCTCAGAGAATTGATGTTTAACCGGCGTATTAATTTTAAACTAGATTTATTGAAAAAGAAAATTAACATGACTGAAAGCACTCATTCTGGTAACGAATGTAATTTTTTTACAGTGGGTGAAAGAGTGATCGCTAGAGATTACGGCAAGCAAAAGTGGCAAATAGGTAACATAAAAAAACGCGTTGGACATTTGCGTTACGAGATATTGCTACAGGACGGCAGAGTATGGCGTAGACACGTCGATCAATTACAAGCTGCTCCACCCACCGAGCAGACAAATAAGCCGAACTGGGATTTCGATCATTTTGTACCGTTCGAAGAAATGATCGAGGCCTCTCCTCATTTACACTCTCACTAACAAGAATCGTCCAATAAAGCCCCAGGAACTGTACCTGTAGCAGGATCTCAACCTACCAGGAACAATAGAAAAAGCCGCGGACGAGGTAGAGGTTTGAGTTTGGATACAACAGGAGCAGCTGGAAGTCGTCCACAAATAAACAGAACAGCACCTGTGTACTTAAGGGACTATGAATGTAATTTTGATTAATTGGAATTATTTGTATCCAGATGCCATCACGCGCATTCTTTTTTTACAGAGAGAAGTGTTGTATATGTGCGTGTACTGCGTGTGCGATAGCTGCAATGTGTATGTGTGTCGTGTGTGCCTACGAGTGAGCAACGAGGATAGATAGCGAGCGGGCAAGATCGGGAGATATAGGGTCCGAGAGACTCGAGCCGATTAAGAGAAGTCAGTCCGGTATACGACCTTACAAGTACGAGAACGGGCGCGCACTACCTTACACATTTCTGTACTTACCATTACACTTACCTATAATAAATAATTACTCTTATGTATAGTGTGGCTTATTCTCTACACCTACGCCCAGCCCTTACGAATACAATAACTTTCATCAATCTTGCCACGGATTTGTGGAAAGCTGGTAGAGAACTCATAGAGAAGATTGTGGGTGTATCCAGAAAAACTTTGAAACGGCATTGCAGCGGACTTTGTATAATTTGTTAATAACTTTTTGTGTACTTGTTGAGGGATGTTTGCAGACGTGTGAAAGACTCGTGTAGGACTTGTAGGAGACTTTTCAAAAGGTTTGTGTAGAACTTAAGGGTAACTTTTGGGGGACTAAAAGGTAACTTGTGAAGGACTTGTCGTTCTCTTTATTTAGAATTTTGTAGGACTTCTATGGACATAGGGAGGTCTTTGAAAAAAAATTAGAAAAATTATTGAACAGTTTAAAGGAACTTTAGAAAAATTAAAAGAAGACTGAAAAATTATCTCTCAGAGGCCATACTAAGGATAAAAAAAACTTCACAAGAATACATACTTAAAATTAATTTAAATAAAATATTTATTTAAGGTTAAGGTGCATAAGTCTTACAAAATCCCAGTTTAAAAAAAAAGTTGACTCGAGTTCTACGAAATGCGGGAAGTGCAAACGATTTGTTTACAGGACTTATAAAAGCCATTATCAGAGTAAAGTAGTTTTTACTTATGCTAGTTACAGTAAGAGGAGCTTACGTAGCCATTCATAACGACGTGTGCAAATGAGTTTATGGTATGTTGTTATAAAGTAAAAATACAGTTACTTAAATATTTGTTAACTGAATTACTTTTATCCTTACTAGGTTTTATGCAAGAAAAGGCGAAAGATGGATTGAATACCAAAGAATATCATGTTGTCTTGATCAAAATATTCTGGCATCTTAGGAGCACAAGAAAAAAAATGCTTTATGCGAGACTTATGCCATTACCAACTGTTTGTTACAAAAATAGTTTAAGAAGCACACATTAATTCCTTTTCTTCTGCCATATTTACTCTAAATAACACGTTTATAATAAAATAAATTTCTTCATTGTAATGCATATTTTTAATATTACAAATCGATAAATTTCTCTAGAGTATATCACAGGTCTCTTAAAAGTCCCCCAGAAGATCTTAACAAGTCCTTCACAAGTCTCCCACAAAATCCACTGAAGTCCACTAAAACTGCACCAAAAAGTTTCTCCCAATGTCCCCTAAAAATCCTTCACAAGTCCGTCAAAAGTTCTCCAAATGTACCCTTGAAGTCTTCTAGATGTCCCCCAAAAGTCCGTAAAAAATCCTCTATAAGTCCCCCAACAATCCTCCGCAAGTCCTTCAGAAGTACCTCAAAAGCCCACCACAAATTCTACGTAACAACTCAAAAATTTCTTGATGAGTCCCCCACATATCCTTTACATGTTGCTTAAAAGATTCTCAAAAGATCTTCGCAAATCCCTTAAAAGTTCTCCACATGTAGCCTTAATGTACCCTGAATGTCCTTTACAAGTCCTATGTACTTCACCCTGAATTTCTCCATAAATCTCTCAAAAGTCTTCACAAGTCCCTCACGAGTATACTGAAGGCCTCCT